AAAGTCATCAGATAAAGGGAGAGGCTCCGGAGGTATAATTCTCGGCATAAATAAACAACTACAGCCCCAAATTGACAATGTTGAAATCGAAACCTCTTGGATTGCAGTCACACTCAATCCAAGTTTAGACAATGACTCACCGGCGATCTGCGTAATATTCGTATATCTACCCCCAAACGATACGCATGCTACAAAACTTGGACGACTATTTCATTTGATGGAAAATAAGATATATAACGGGTTTGAAATAATACTGGTCGGCGACCTGAATGTCCGTATTGGCAATCTGGGGGGTTACCATAATTTGACAGATACTTCAAACCTTTTTTCAACCACCCGAAATTCCTGTGACCTAACAAAATCTGCCAAAGCGGAAATATTTATTGACTTTCTTGATAAAAATCACTTAACTATAATAAATGGTAGATCCATTAATGATAAAAGTGGTAAATTTACATTCATCTCCGGAAGAGGCTCTTCTGTGTTAGATCTGGCGATTGTCTCACCTGCGGTGCTTGAACACATAGCAGATTTTGAAATTGGTTGTATGCCATATTCGGATCACTTACCAATAATTTTAAAGTTTATCGGCCCTAATAATAAAACTGAAAATTGTTACATGGAGCCTAAGGCCAAAATTAATTTTTCCTGGTCAGTAGATAAAATCCCAACATATATAGAAACTTTAAAAGAATTAACTCCCGAACATCCAGCGGACTCCACAATTGATACTCAGGCTGAGGATTTTACTGGTTTAATTCAAACAGCAATGTTACGCTCGGGGACGCGGATGGAGGCAAAAACAAAAAATATAAAATCTAAGCCATGGTTCGACAAATACTGTTATTTGGCTAAAAAGGAAATGAAACAAAATCTAAAATTATACGTAAAACATAATATCTCGGCCGATAAAATTGCATACTTGTCGAGTAAGAAGAAATATTCAGCTATCCTAAAGCTCAAAAAAAGGGAATATACTGACAAAATTCAAGTTATCCTCAGTAATGTAAAAGATCCTGCCCAATTTTGGAAGACTATTAATTCACTTAAATATAGGAATAACCTACAAGGTGAAATTTCTACTGCAGACTGGCAAGTCTTCTACCGGGAGTTACTTGGTTCAAATTTAACAAAAGTTGTACAGTTACCACTTGAGATATTGGACATTGACCCCGAATTAGATTGTGAAATATCTCTAACTGAGGTCACCAAGGAAATTTCCAAATTGGGTAAAAATAAGGCTACAGGACTTGATGAAATTCCTAACGAAGCGATTAAATATTTGTTAGAAGAACATACAATTTATCTCAGGAACTTATTTAATAAAATCTTAGGGACATCCCAAGTTCCTCAACAATGGACAAAAACGATAATCCACCCAATATTTAAAAATGGAGATCCGGACAACCCGTCAAATTACAGAGGAATATCCCTGATTTCTAACCTATCGAAATTATTTACATCTATCTTGAAGACAAGATTGAATGATTGGATGGAGAGAAAGTCAATTTTGGCAGAAAATCAGGCTGGTTTTAGAAAAGGCTACTCTTGTCAGGACCACATTTTCACGCTCGTATCATTAATTCAAATGACCCTTAGCCGTAGAAGGGGAAAGTTATACGCCTGCTTCATTGACCTAAGGAAGGCCTTTGATACCGTGCCGCACCATCTACTTTGGAAAAAATTAGCATTAAATGGTCTGAGTTGCCGATTTATTAAACTAATTAAGAACTATTATACCCAAATGACGGCAACAGTCAGATGGCGGGGTTCCTTCACGGAGGCTATCAAAATACAAGCGGGAGTATTGCAGGGGGAGCCGTTGTCACCTTATTTATTCATTCTCTTCCTAAACGATCTGGTACCCCTGTTCGATGAATCAGAATTGCCAGGCATAAATCTTGAGAATTATAGAACTATACACCTTTTACTGTATGCAGACGACATAGTGATCTTAGGAGAATCGAAAATAAATTTGCAATTGAAGATTAACTTACTTAAAAAGTACTTAGAAGAGAACTGCCTAACGTTAAACCAAAATAAATCTAAAATAATGGTGTTTAGAAACGGTGGAAGAACAGCTCGTTCCGAGACATGGTTTTGGGGTCAGCAACCCCTGACAATAGTAGCTAAGTATACATATCTGGGTTACCCTCTGACTACAAAAATCTCGACCCAATATGCTTCCCAATACTTTAGAAACAAAGCACTGAATGCAATTAATGCACTTTGGAGAATCCTTACAAAGGCGCGAATAAAGTCCTTTACCTCAGTGATGAAACTTCTTGACGCTATTGTTCTTCCTACTTTACTATATGCGGCACCAATGTGGGCAATCAACCAGCTGAAGACAGTCAATAATACCCAAGATGCATTTCTTCGTCGTCTCTTAGACTTACCAAACTTCACACCAGGATATGTCCTCAGAAGAGAATGTGGAAGAATATCAACTGAACTTAATGCTGTAAAACTCACATTAAAGTTTTGGGTCAGGATTTTAAAAATGGAGACGAGCAGATTACCACATGCTTGCTTAAACTATCTCTGGAAAGTCACCGCGAAAAAGGAAATAGAAAACAGTTTTACTCAAAATATAATAAAAATTCTAGACTCAAAGGGATATTCCTTTCTGAAGGGCTGCGAAGACTACTTAGCCATACAGAAAGAATTGCCAGGCATAATTAGAACTACCACAGACCAACTAATTCAAAACGATCAGATGAAAATCACTGATTCAACCCACTTTGCTCACTACAAATCTTTGAGTGAATCATTCATGACAGAGGAGTACCTACGATTAAATATCTCGCTTCCCAACAAAAGACTAGTTGCACAACATAGAGTTTTATGGCAATTTTTCAGGGAAGAAAGAAAAGACTTCTGGAAAGAAAATGGCCGGAACTGTTTACTTTGTAAGGATCTCATGGATGATAATTTGGTTCACTATTTCTTCCAATGCCCTCTCTTAACACAAAAACGTACTGAAATTTTCCCAAGCCCTACCTCTGGTCAATCTGGATACCATAGCATGTGTCAACTTCTCTCTTCAGATCTGAATGATAGAATACTGATTGATAGATACGTTAAGTTCTGTACGGAAGCTGGGCGCATGAGAAAGAATGCAGGGCAAAGGATACTGGAGGATGATCCATCTGTAAATAGGTAACAAACCTTATTTTTTGTTGTAAATGTTTCCTCTTCCCTCTCCTCTTGTTGACGTGTAAATGCGGCGAATCCTGTATGGGGCGGAATGCCCTAAATAAAGGCTTTTGTTGTTGTTGTTGTTTGTTGTTGTTATAGTTGTTGAGATATATTTTTTATTGATTGAATATGGTTGGAGATGGGTTGCTATAGTTGGTCGGCGATTGTTATTGTAAGTGGAGATACTATTATTGTTTGGATATAGGTTGCTATAGTTGGTGAGAGATGGGTTGCTATTGTTGGTCATAGAGGTGGATATTTTTTATTGGAGATACTATTATTGATATCAGATTTACTTAATCTTGAATTTCTATAGAATCTGATCTTTTTTTATATATCGCAAAGATATGAGATATTATGTCGACTAACTTTTATTCTATTTTTATAGATGATTGATTATTTAAACTTTCTTTTGGTAGATTCTTATTTACTGATAATGTTATGCAGTCGTGAACGTTCTTGAAAAAAAATCATTTTTAATCACACACACTATTTGCTTTAAATGAGCTTATAGTATTTAACTATATATACTATAAGACTAAGAATAAGAATATATATAAGAATAAGAACTATATTAACAAAATATATCTTTAAAATATTGTTAGGCCTGATTAATATAAGAAAGAAATATTATATACGCTAATATATACTCGTGGTACAGGCCATGATAATCATAGTGGGTAAGAGTAGGCGACTTGATTGAGTGAGAAGCAGTTCGACTTTGCACTTACAAATGTACCAGAGCCCCGTTTGGTTACTTGCACTCGCTGGTGGGGTTGGACTTTTGTAAGAATCGGGGGCCATTGGAGATTTTTTTTTAAATCAGATTAATCCCGCATTGGAGATTTTTTTTTTAATCAGAAAAAAAAAGTATCCCGAATCGAACCAGGGTCGTAGCGGTTTAAAACCAACAGTTTAGACCATACTTCCACCGACCCCCCCCCCCCCCCCAAGAAATACTTGATCTTTAGGAGTGAAGAAAAATAAACACTATTTTTCCTTAATTATTTATATATTTTAAAAACATCTATGTCAGCCCAAAGCAACAACAATGGAGTTATATAGTTTAAAGCAGCGTCATCTGGGTGCCGACTTCACAGATTTGTTCTAGAAAAATTTATTTAAAAATTAAACACACATACAATATACTTATTTTGCAAATCTAAAATTATATTTACAACATATAGGTAATTAATATATTATGAAATATAATTAACAACTTAATTAAATCAGATATTTTACTTCTTTTTCGAGGTGAACGTTCCTTATTTTAATAAATATTTGGAATGAATAACAAAAAGGTTCACAGACACAACAACGGAAATAGGCTAATAAATCGGTCTTAGGGCGTCATATTCCTGTCCAAATAAAAACCAACAGAGAGGTAATATAATATATATATTCTAATAATATAATATATATATTCTAATAATATAATATATATTCTATAACCAAACTTAAATAAAAAAAGAATTTGAACAATTTTTTTTTATAATCGTAATTTCATATATGTTGATTTTTCAAAAGGTTTAATATATTTTATAATTTTTATTATTTTATATCATTTATTGTGTAAATATAGTTTAAAAATAGGGGAATAAGAAAAAAAAACAATTATATATTTAAAAAAAAAAACAAGAAGACCATAAAAATGTGAAGAAAAAAAATTAATAGAGGAGTAGTTTGATTAAAGAAATATAAGGCCTTGAAATGTTATTACTTCATCAGCAGCCTCAATGTCAAAATTGTTTTATCTTGTATGAGACCATGTGTGCTAAATATTAGATTTTATTTTGCCTACGGCCATACCACATTAAAAAAAAACGGTTTTCGTCCGATAACCGAAGTTAAGCAATGTCGGGTCCGGTCAGTACTTGGGAGGGTGACCACCTGGGTACACCAGGTGCTGTAGGCTATTACCTTTTTGGAGGTCGGTGAAAGGATGGTTTAAACCGTTGGTTCTCGACCACTACGACCTGGGTTCGATTAACGCATTTGGCACTTTTTCTGATTTAAAAAATAGCTTCAAAATGGCCCCCGATTCTTGCAAAAGTCCAAACCCACCAGCAAGTGCAAGCAACAAAACGGAGTTCTGGAACATTTGCAAGTGCAAAGTCGAGCTGTTTTTCACATGTGTAGACATGTGGTGCACTTACAGTAAATGTAGTCGCCTACCTCTACCCACATGACTATCATGGCCTGTACTACGTGTACTAGGGATCAGCAAAAAAAAGTTTTTTAATGCATGTTGGTCCATCACTGCTATTGCAATACGTGCTGGGAGCAATGGTGCGAGAGGCAAGTACGTGACAGCAGGCCACTATGTCATCCACCAGATAGGCTGCAACACTTGTGCATGGGCTTCCTTATAAGCTACTAGCGAATGTACCCGGTTTCGTACGGTTTTTACCCGAGCGAAAGTTTGCCTGACAAACATTTGGTAAAAGATATTTTCGGGGCAAGCATCCTCTCCTTACTGAATCTATTATTGTCAAGAAACATTGATGTTTGTTACCTTTCTCCACCAAATCCACTGAATAAACCATTAGAAAAATTTGATATTAACAAATGTAATTTCACCAGATTCCGCGAAGGCGCTGCTAAAGAGTAAATTAGAAAATTTGGAATATATATGCCTTTGTGATTTTTTAAAATTATAATCCTGAAAATTAATCCAATTTTAACATTTAAAGTTATGTATTTTGAAAATATGAGTCATCTATGATATTTAATCGACTAGATATATAAAATTACTAGCCTAAAACATCAATTGTGTGCTCCAGGGTCCCGGCCTGCCCAAGGCCACCCAGAAGTTCGTGCAAGGGGCTCCGGCCTACGCTCTGATCGTGCTGATGCGGGCGAAGGGTGGCCCGAAAAGATTCGGCACCTACATGTGCGAGTCTACACAAGGCGGAGTTCCCACCTCTATCACAACGCTTAAACTACCAGCCTCCGAACTTGGCGAGTGTCTAGTGTAGACCATTTCTATATATAAATTTATATGTTTATTTTAGCCTACTACATACGTTTATTTAACGAATGAAGATATAAGACGCGAATGTTTATTTTTCAAAAATAAATCAAACTTCTACTGTCCTTACTGCGATGAAAAAATATTGGGAGGGCTTGGCTCATCAGTGGTGACCCCTCCCAGCTGTTTCGCCAATTCAATCTACCAGACCGCCTCTTTAGAGCGCTAATACTGTATTGGATCATTCTGCTTTTATATGCTGCAGTGAAGGGTAGAATCTTAGAAATGGTTTAACCATTTATTTAGCCATTTGAAAAATAATGGGAAAAATAAAATAAAAGATCAGGTGTTGATATTAAAAATAAAAAAGGCATATTCTGACCAGGTTTAAGCGCATTTACGCAAGTTGGCCTTAAATATCCATTTTTGGTCACAGTGGTACAGCCTGCTCCACGCTGACTAGAACCAACAGCCCGAAACACGTTCGTGGATGGCTTTTCTTGATTTATCAAGAAAATGGGTTGGCCAAATATCAGGGAACAGGTTAAATCAATGTTGAGTTGATTTCTGTTTCACTAGATGGCGCTCTGCCTTCTAAAAAGCGCTTATGCTCCTTCTCAGGATATGCCTACTTTGTTTTTAATATCAACACCTGACCCTTTTATTTTTTTTTCTATTGTTTTTTTTTTTTATACATAGATATGCAAGTTTATAAGTTGAATAATCACCTGAAGTAATGTATTATCAAAAGACGAACAAAATCGTAAGATGAAGAGTTTCATGTATGTTTTTTTTATTTATACAAGCTTTTTTTTGTGCCTTCTGCCATTCAACGGGACTAAAAATAAAAAAAAGTATAAGAGAGAGAAAATATCTTTATTTACGGGGCTGTTAACCAAAATAAATGATTTTTGAGCCCCAATGGCCGCGTAAAGCGGAATATATAAAACCACTATGACCAGCATGGAGAGGCTAGGGACAGGATCTCCGTTAGGGAAGAGGCAGGTTAGGCCGGATTGGGTCCGCGGAGGTCAGGAGGCAGGAAGAAGGCGGGAGGACTATAACTTTGCAGCTCTAGCTCTGGCAGTTGGGCAGGACATTGATCTTGCCTCGTGGTCGGCAGAGATGGCCTTGGCTGAGCAGTTGGCGCACTTGGCCGTGCGCGAGTTGGCAAGAATTGGACAGCCTCGGCCTTGGTGGTCACCAGAAGCGCAGTGGAAGCAGGTGACCGTAGCCTTGGTTTACCTATCGACGTTGTGGCCGTAACCACAGCAGCGGTAGCAGACGCGGACAGATTCCTCGTAGTTCAGGATCACTTGGTCCACAATGATCCTGCCGCGTCTTCCAATGGCCTTGTAGGAAGCCAAGTCCAGCTCAATAAAGGCCGTGCAGGTGCCATTTCTGGTCGGAGATCTGTGTGCCACTCGGACAGACTTGTCTCCAGGAAGCTGGCTGAGGGCATCGGTGGAAAGGAAGGCCGTGACAATGTCCTCCTCCACGTTGAAGAGGCAGATTCTTGGAAGGAATTGCCTCAGTTCCCCGGAGTTTCAGGCCTTGGAGCTTGTTGTCCAGGGCAGAGCTGACGGCAGGAATGGCCTCTGGAGTGTTGGAGTGCAGCCCCAGTTTCCCCTGGTGCTCAGAGACGCCCAGACGCCTTGAGGCAGAGTGTGGGCAGCGCGGACAGCTTTGAGGATGTCCCGTGGGTCAGCCTGCGGGTTATCTGCAATAACCACGATTTCTCCCCATTGAGGGTGCCTTTGGCAACGGTAGGCTTGGGGGCGCGGGAAGATTCAGGCTTGGCTGGAACCAGTGGTTTGGTCCTCTTAGCGGGCGGGTTTGACGCCTCTGGCTGCTTCCTCTTGGTTAGAGCAGGATCTGGCTTCTTGGGAGCAGGTGCTGCCACAGGGACAGCAGCTGGAACGGGGGTGGCAGGCTTGATGAGCTCGGTCTGAGTGCTAGAGTCCTTACAGGTGGGAGCAGGGCTAGTTTGAGTGGTTTGACAGGTTTTCTTGGGCATTTGGACATCCATGATTTCATCCAGCTCCATGAAGTCATTCACGGTGCCCGCGAGGTTCTTCACATCCCTAACTAGGCACTTGATTATTTCCGTTCGCTGCTCAATGAAGCGAACAAGGTCCAGGTTTAGAGCTGCTAGGGAGGGCTGGCCGAGGGATTGCAGGATTTGGTAGTGGCGGGAGATGACCATGTTGTCTTCTTCAACAAGAGCCGCGATGTCAACCGAGGGTTGAGAGGGCTTGTTGGCTTTCTTCTTCTTCTTCTTGCAGTAATCCATGGCGGGAGAGCGTCGGAGCGTTGAAGAAAAGCGGACAAAATGCCAGGTAAGGTAGTGTTCTATTTAAGGCAAGAACAACATCAAGAGACTGAAAAAAAAGTATAAGAGATTAAATTGTTATATATATGTTATGAATAATATGTTTGTTGTTAGATAAAGGACTGATAAGATAAATAATTAATAGTGCAGTCGTGATAAAAGAAAAATAATTATTTACTATTAAGTAGTTTTTCATTTTTAATTACTTCAAGAAAATTACACATTAGTTATTTCCACAATTATATAGAATTTATGAAATATTATTTCTATATTAGTGAGTTTTTCTTTTACACAAATAAATTTACTGGCAATGCGTTTCTTTTAAATATCAAATATTATCTCTACAGACCTTACTGCAATGGTATGAGTTATTGAATGAGAGGGCTTGGCTCATCAGTAGTGAACCCTCTCAGCGTTTCGCCAAATTAATCTCTAGACCGCTCTACTATTGTATTGGACTGGTTTTGTTATGTACCTCTACAGACCTATAAACTTATGTCCATAGTTCCTAAAACACCCCTAAGCTGCCTTCCATAGAAAATGCAGGGTATATAACAAAACCAGTCCAGTACAATAGTAGAGCGGTCTAGAGATTAATTTGGCGAAACCGCTGAGAGGGTTAACTACTGATGAGCCAAGCCCTCTCATTCAATAACTCATACCATTGCAGTAAGGTCTGTAGAGATAATATTTGATGATATTTAAAAGAAACGCATTGCCAGTAAATTTATTTGTGTAAAATTTTAACGATGGATGGCAATAAAAATTAATTTACTAATATATATTGGTTATGAAAACATATTTTGCGGAAGAGCTTTGCTCGATACAATACCTTGAAATTATATGTATGTACCTCTACAGACCTATAAACTTATGTCCATAGTTCCTTAAAAACCCCTAAGCTGCCTTCCATAGAAAATGCAGGGTATATAACAAAACCAGTCCAATACAATAGTAGAGCGGTCTAGAGATTAATTTGGCGAAACCGCTGAGAGGGTTCACTACTGATGAGCCAAGCCCTCTCATTCAATAACTCATACCATTGCAGTAAGGTCTGTAGAGATAATATTTGATGATATTTAAAAGAAACGCATTGCCAGTAAATTTATTTGTGTAAAATTTTAACGATAGATGGCAATAAAATTTAATTTATTAGTGAGTTAAAAAAAAAAAAGGTAAGTTAACTCTCTCTATGCATATTTACAATTCTAAAAGTCATTCTAAAAACAATGGTAAAAAAGTAGAATTATCAAAAAATAAAATTAAAATATATATTTGAAAATATATATGGTGATGTATCCAGTCGACTTAATCTATGGTGTGTGTGAGATCCTGTCGACCCTACTATACTGTGTCAACCGAGAGGAACAGTCAAGATGTGGAGAGTTTTCCAGTACCTCTCTGCACCTTGGAATACTTTTAACAGTTCTCACAGAGTACAGGCAGTCGTGGTCGAAGCAGAGTGGAAGACTTGGGAATATCCATACACAAAAACGAAGAGACACAGTTGTACTAGGAAAATTCTGTGAAAAGATAAAAGTCGAGCTAGGACAAGATAGAGATTTAAGAAGACTCTTACTGTTCTACATGGTCGATGAGGTGGACCTTGGGG